TCCACCATAATTTACAAATAAATTCTTTAAAAATCCTACAAATTCCTGTAGTTTTTTTTCACATTCTGTCTCTCACAGTTGAAGTGAACCTATGATGAAAATTACAGACCTGTCATTATTTTAAGTGGGAGAACTTCCACAATCGGAGGCTGACTAAATACTTTTCTGCCCACTGTGTATAGTCCAAGCTTGCGTTTCTTTGATAACACTTTTTCTCTGTTAAAATCAAACAAACTATCGCCGCTGCCTCCTCTTGGTTCGCCTTGATTGTTTACTCTGAAGTCACGCTTGATCTCAAGAGATTTTGTGAGATTTCTGTCTGACCTGTGAATGCTCGGGGGTGAAATCGGTTTGTGTGTGATGTGTGTGGTTTGTGTGATTTTGTCGTGTGGCTGCACCACACACTGTATGACCCTTGATTTTTTATCTCTGTGTGTGAGGTATCTCAGGTTAGGAAAATCGGCCGACAATTTTTAAATCGTCTTGTGTGAACCAGGTTTTAGGCAAGACTAAGATCTTACTGTGTATAGCTGGATAACACAGTAAACAAATAGTTTGAATAGTCATTGAAAAGATACAGACTTATGACATCACCCGAACTTTTACTAAAGAAGTAAGTAATGTTTTTTAATGTAAAGAACAAATCAAATTGACATCACACATTGCACACTTGAACCAAGGCCAGTTCCAGCTCTATGGAAGACATGCCTGTGGGGGTGTACCCAGAAAGAGAATTACCCAATGCTTTTGGATGCCGTCTTTTAACCTCTCAAAAAAGTCTTTACAGGATGGTCCAAAACTGGCTCTGGGTTTAAAGCTACATCGTTGCTGAGGGGAATATATTCTTTGGACCAGTGCTAATGCACAAATGCGTTTTTTCACATTTTTTCTGCCCTGCGGCCATTTTGATAAAGCCACAGAAGCCAAAAGTGATGTCACATTAGTTTCAATGGGGGAGATAGGCGTGATTACGTCTGTTAATATTTACAGTAAGTAAGTAATGTTTGTTTACATAGCGCCTTTCTCAGACCAGAGTCATAAAGCGCTTTACAATTGTGGGCATTTGTCTCTCTCTCCACACAGATGGGAGCGGGGCCAGTACAGGAGGCACAGACCTATTGTACATGTTTTTAGTGGAAGGGGAATCCGGAGTACCCAGAGGAAACCTACACAGACACGAGGAGAACATGCAAACTCCACACAGAACATACCAGTGAAAGGAGTCATTAGCAGCACTCGTCTGGTTCTTCAAACACCAACAAAAGGTTCTTACAAACATGTGTTGTTTTGCTGCTTCTCCTGATTTCAAAGTTGTAGTTCTGCTAATTTATTAAAGGGAGTCTGGGAGAAGGGATTTCCTGCAGAGACAGAAGAGATATGTTTGAGGGGAGTCGAGGTTAGAACAGAATAAAAATCCTCATTAACAGCTCACCTTCTCTCTGAGCTCACTCCACATTCTGAGTGGAAAGAATATTGATCGCTAACAAGAGGATTTTAGTACTTTAAAGTATAAGTTTTGTCAATAATTGATTGACTGCGGAACCTTCCGCAGTCAACCATTGGTTTTGTATTTCTTTATTCCGTCATTTTTTTTGACACGTTTCACAGCTTTCACATTTTCAACAATTTCCACAAGTTATACATCAAAACGTTCCACATGTTTGGGAGATTATTGCTATTACTTTTGGGACTTCAGCGATTTCCGGTTTTTCCGCAATCGGACAAAAATCTGCATTGAGAATTCTGCAATGCATTTTAATAGGCCCATGCATTTTAATAGGACTTCAGCTCTTTCAGACATTTCTACAGTTTCAATGATTCAACAGTTTCAAGGATTCAACAGTTTCAAGGATTTCAGCAGTTTCAAGATTTCAAGAGTTTCAAGGACTTCAACAGTTTCAAGGACTTCAGCAGTTTCAAGGACTTCAGCAGTTTCAAGGACTTCAGCAGTTTCAAGGACTTCAGTGTAATCATGCAACCTAATAGGGATTTTTCCATGTAAACCAGTATAATGCAACTTAATAGGGATTTTTCCATGTAAACCAGTATAATGCAACTTAATAGGGTTTTTTCATGTAAACCAGTATAATGCAACTTAATAGGGTTTTTTTTCATGTAAACCAGTATAATGCAACTTAATGGGGATTTTTCCATGTAAACCAGTATAATGCAACTTAATAGGGGTTTTTACATGTAAACCAGTATAATGCAACTTAATAGGGTTTTTTCCATGTAAACCAGTATAATGCAACTTAATAGGGTTTTTTCCATGTAAACCAGTATAATGCAACTTAATAGGGTTTTTTCCATGTAAACCAGTACAATGCAACTTAATAGGGATTTTTCCATGTAAACCAGTATAATGCAACTTAATAGGGTTTTTTACATGTAAACCAGTATAATGCAACTTAATGGGGATTTTTCCATGTAAACCAGTATTATGCAACTTAATAGGGATTTTTCCATGTAAACCAGTATAATGCAACTTAATAGGGTTTTTTCATGTAAACCAGTATAATGCAACTTAATAGGGTTTTTTTTCATGTAAACCAGTATAATGCAACTTAATGGGGATTTTTCCATGTAAACCAGTATAATGCAACTTAATAGGGGTTTTTACATGTAAACCAGTATAATGCAACTTAATAGGGTTTTTTCCATGTAAACCAGTATAATGCAACTTAATAGGGTTTTTTCCATGTAAACCAGTATAATGCAACTTAATAGGGTTTTTTCCATGTAAACCAGTACAATGCAACTTAATAGGGATTTTTCCATGTAAACCAGTATAATGCAACTTAATAGGGTTTTTTACATGTAAACCAGTATAATGCAACTTAATGGGGATTTTTCCATGTAAACCAGTATTATGCAACTTAATAGGGATTTTTCCATGTAAACCAGTATAATGCAACTTAATAAGGGATTTTTCCTTGTAAACCACTATAATGCAACTTAATAGGGGTTTTTTACATGTAAACCAATAAGGATTTTTACATGTAAACCACTATAATGTAACCTAATAGGGGTTTTTACATGTAAACCAGTAAAAGCAACTTAATAGGGATTTGTACATGTAAACCAGTATAATGCAACCTAATAGGGATTTTTCCATGTAAACCAGTATAATGCAACTTAATAGAGATTTTTCCATGTAAACCAGTATAATGCAACTTAATAGGGATTTTTCCATGTAAACCAGTATAATGCAACCTAATAGGGATTTTTCCATGTAAACCAGTATAATGCAACCTAATAGGGATTTTTCCATGTAAACCAGTTTAATGCAACCTAATAGGTTGCATTATACCACCAGACCAAGACCCAAACGAAGACTCAGACCACCACCAGATAATGACCACAGACCAGGTTTCCTTAGTTACAGGAACCAAATTGTTTCAGCGGTGAGGGGATTTTTCAGTTTCAAGGACACTTTCAATACATTCAGTAGTTTCAAGGATTTCAACTGTTTAAGAATTTAACCAGTTTCAAGGATATCAGGAGGTTCAAGGATTTCAGGAGTTTCCACACTTTCAACAGTTTCCAGGTTTAAAAAAAGTTTCAAGGATTTCAGGAGTTTCAATGTTTCAACAGTTTCAAGGATTTCAGGAGTTTAAAGGTTTCAACAATTTCAAGGACTTCAGGAGTTTCAAATATCTATCAAGTATTTTAACAGTTTCAAGGCCTTTTAAAGGATTTCAAGGATTTTTTTTAGCAGATTTCCACATTAGATCTGTTCCGCAGTCAATCGCAATGGCTTCAGCCATTGCAAGTTTCTAGTTACTATATGATGATGTTTTTCCTTTCCAGTGCTGTACCGAGCAAAACACATGATACTTGATACTTTTAGGGTTTAGGGACGTTTTCCCACAACATTTAAACAAATGCATCTGGAGGAAAATCAATGCCTGCCTCTTAAAGACACAGCAGAATGTGCCGAGATCTCTTAATAATTCTGGATTCTGAGACCTCTTTAAAATCAAGTCAATCAAACCCAACGAATGGTATTGATTCTTGTGAGAAAGTGAGCGGGGAGACAGATGTGACGCCTTTATGCTTTTGATAAGTTGATTAGATAAGGTCAGAGTGATGATGGCTGACTCTTATGATCGCTTCAGTGCAGCTCCTGATGACTTTATAGAGTTTCATCTCAGCCTCAGATCGACACGAGACCTGGACTTATGATCGTCCTGTCTCCTCTGCCCTCGCCGTCCACGCTCTGAGGCCCTAACAATAGTCTACTTGAGCTCAATTAACTCCTGTCACGCTGTTTAATGGCGCTCATTGGGTCTCTGTGTTTGGGCCGTTCATGGAGCACTTCCTTTATGTAGGCTTGTCATTAAAGGTTCTGGGCTTTGTTTGCTCCTTCGGCTACAACAAATTATTCAATGACGTCTTTTTAAATGTGAGAAACAGAGATAGTGGTTTGGCAACGAGAGCCCAAAATTAAATTAACCTCAGAAAACTGCATGGCCTCTGCTTGTGTTATGATTTTCTATTAAAATGCTATCAAAGCTAAATGAATTCTGCTCATTCAGCCCCAAAAGACCTGGCACTTGCATCAACTCATTTCAGTGCGAGCAGGTAAACACACAGATGCTGCAGAGGGAGTTTGGTTACACATTTACAGGGTACAAACGGATCTCTGTTTGCAATCATGGAAACTAGTGACACGGCAATTTACTTCAAATTGAAAGGCACTTAGTAAAAGCTCTCTCCACAGCATGTTTCTGAGCACAGCGACCGGTACTAGTTTGGGCAAAAACTCTCATTTCATCATGTGGTGGTGCTTCCTGAGTGGGCGTGGCCAGTCTGAGTGACCCAAGAGGACATGGGACATCCTCCTCCAGAGACCACCGGTGAGAGGGGTCTTGTTTTGATTCATTTACGGTGTGGTGTTGACGGGAAGATCGAATACAGAAAGACTTTCTGAATCAAAATGTGTAAATAAATCTTCTGCTTTATTCGAGGGTCATGGAGACCGCGGTGATGCTCCGACTTCAATCCATAGATCCTCTGTAGTCCCTCCAAATCTGTAGTCCCTCCAAATCTGTAGTCCCTCCAAATGTCCCCTGGGCCCTCCCCTGGGCGCTCCCCTGGGTCCTCTCCTGGGTCCTCTCCTGGGTCCTCTCCTGGGTCCTCCCCTGGGTTCTCCATTGGGTCCTCTCCTGGGTCCTCCATTGGGTCCTCTCCTGGGTCCTCTCCTGGGTCCTCTCCTTGGTCCTCTCCTGGGTCCTCCCCTGGGTCCTCTCCTGGGTCCTCCCCTGGGTCCTCTCCTGGGTCCTCCCCTGGGTCCTCCATTCGGTCCTCCCCTGGGTCCTCCATTGGATCCTCTCCTGGGTCCTCCACTGGGTCCTCCCCTGGGTCCTCTCCTGGGTCCTCTCCTGGGTCCTCTCCTGGGTCCTCCCCTGGGTCCTCTCCTGGGTCCTCCCCTGGGTCCTCTCCTGGGTCCTCTCCTGGGTCCTCCCCTGGGTCCTCCCCTGGGTCCTCCATTCGGTCCTCCCCTGGGTCCTCCATTGGGTCCTCTCCTGGGTCCTCCCCTGGGTCCTCTCCTGGGTCCTCCCCTGGGTCCTCCATTCGGTCCTCCCCTGGGTCCTCCATTGGGTCCTCTCCTGGGTCCTCCACTGGGTCCTCCCCTGGGTCCTCTCCTGGGTCCTCTCCTGGGTCCTCCCCTGGGTCCTCTCCTGGGTCCTCCCCTGGGTCCTCTCCTGGGTCCTCCCCTGGGTCCTCCATTCGGTCCTCCCCTGGGTCCTCCATTGGATCCTCTCCTGGGTCCTCCACTGGGTCCTCCCCTGGGTCCTCCCCTGGGTCCTCTCCTGGGTCCTCTCCTGGGTCTTCTCCTGGGTCCTCCCCTGGGTCCTCTCCTGGGTCCTCTCCTGGGTCCTCTCCTGGGTCCTCTCCTGGGTCCTCTCCTGGGTCCTCCCCTGGGTCCTCTCCTGGGTCCTCTCCTGGGTCCTCTCCTGGGTCCTCCCCTGGGTCCTCTCCTGGGTCCTCCCCTGGGTCCTCTCCTGGGTCCTCTCCTGGGTCCTCTCCTGGGTCCTCTCCTGGGTCCTCCCCTGGGTCCTCCCCTGGGTCCTCCCCTGGGTCCTCTCCTGGGTCCTCTCCTGGGTCCTCCCCTGGGTCCTCCCCTGGGTCCTCCCCTGGGTCCTCTCCTGGGTCCTCTCCTGGGTCCTCCCTGGGTCCTCCCCTGGGTCCTCTCCTGGGTCCTCTCCTGGGTCCTCCCCTGGGTCCTCCCCTGGGTCCTCTCCTGGGTCCTCCCCTGGGTCCTCTCCTGGGTCCTCCCCTGGGTCCTCTCCTGGGTCCTCTCCTGGGTCCTCCCCTGGGTCCTCCCCTGGGTCCTCCCCTGGGTCCTCTCCTGGGTCCTCTCCTGGGTCCTCTCCTGGGTCCTCTCCTGGGTCCTCTCCTGGGTCCTCTCCTGGGTCCTCTCCTGGGTCCTCTCCTGGGTCCTCTCCTGGGTCCTCTCCTGGGTCCTCCCCTGGGTCCTCTCCTGGGTCCTCCCCTGGGTCCTCTCCTGGGTCCTCCCCTGGGTCCTCTCCTGGGTCCTCTCCTGGGTCCTCCCCTGGGTCCTCTCCTGGGTCCTCTCCTGGGTCCTCTCCTGGGTCCTCTCCTGGGTCCTCTCCTGGGTCCTCTCCTGGGTCCTCCCCTGGGTCCTCCCTGGTCCTCCCCTGGGTCCTCTCCTGGGTCCTCTCCTGGGTCCTCTCCTGGGTCCTCTCCTCCCTGGGTCCTCTCCTGGGTCCTCTCCTGGGTCCTCTCCTGGGTCCTCTCCTGGGTCCTCCCTGGGTCCTGGGTCCTCCCTGGGTCCTCCCCTGGGTCCTCCCCTGGGTCCTCTCCTGGGTCCTCTCCTGGGTCCTCTCCCTGGGTCCTCCCCTGGGTCCTCCCCTGGGTCCTCTCCTGGGTCCTCTCCTGGGTCCTCCCCTGGGTCCTCTCCCTGGGTCCTCTCCTGGGTCCTCCCTGGGTCCTCCCCTGGGTCCTCCCTGGGTCCTCTCCTGGGTCCTCCCCTGGGTCCTCCCCTGGGTCCTCCCTGGGTCCTCTCCTGGGTCCTCTCCTGGGTCCTCCCCTGGGTCCTCTCCTGGGTCCTCCCCTGGGTCCTCTCCTGGGTCCTCTCCTGGGTCCTCCCCTGGGTCCTCTCCTGGGTCCTCTCCTGGGTCCTCTCCTGGGTCCTCTCCTGGGTCCTCTCCTGGGTCCTCCCCTGCGTCCTCCCCTGGGTCCTCTCCTGGGTCCTCCCTGGGTCCTCCCCTGGGTCCTCTCCTGGGTCCTCTCCTGGGTCCTCTCCTGGGTCCTCCCCTGGGTCCTCCCCTGGGTCCTCCTGGGTCCTCTCCTGGGTCCTCTCCTGGGTCCTCTCCTGGATCCTCTCCTGGGTCCTCTCCTGGGTCCTCTCCTGGGTCCTCCCCTGGGTCCTCCCCTGGGTCCTCCTGGGTCCTCCCTGGGTCCTCCCCTGGGTCCTCCCCTGGGTCCTCTCCTGGGTCCTCTCCTGGGTCCTCTCCTGGGTCCTCTCCTGGGTCCTCTCCTGGGTCCTCCCCTGGGTCCTCCCCTGGGTCCTCCCGGTCCTCCCTGGGTCCTCCCTGGGTCCTCCCTGGGTCCTCCCCTGGGTCCTCCTGGTCCTCCCTGGGTCCTCCCCTGGGTCCTCCCCTGGGTCCTCTCCTGGGTCCTCCCCTGGGTCCTCCCCTGGGTCCTCCCCTGGGTCCTCCCCTGGGTCCTCTCCTGGGTCCTCCCTGGGTCCTCCCCTGGGTCCTCTCCTGGGTCCTCTCCTGGGGTCCTCTCCTGGTCCTCCTGGGTCCTCCCCTGGGTCCTCCCCTGGGTCCTCTCCTGGGTCCTCTCCTGGGTCTCCCCTGGGTCCTCCCTGGGTCCTCCCCTGGGTCCTCCCCCTGGGTCCTCTCCTGGGTCCTCCCCTGGGTCCTCCCCTGGGTCCTCTCCTGGGTCCTCTCCTGGGTCCTCCCCTGGGTCCTCTCCTGGGTCCTCCCCTGGGTCCTCTCCTGGGTCCTCCCCTGGGTCTGGGAGGTGTTTAGGAGGACCTGGCTCTCCTCTCTAAGGTCTTTCTCTGAGTTGGACTGAACAGTTCTTCTGAGGCAGTGCTCGGCCTCTCCACGGAAGGATCCTCATTTCCACTGCTTGTATCTTGTCCTTGAGGTTATTACTCAAAGCTCATACTGATAGAAGTCATCTACTGTTTTTATCCCCAAACATAAATAAAGAACCAATGACACTGAGGCGTCATTTCATTATTACGTTTTCATTTTTATTTTAGTTATTTTAGTTTCTTTGCTTGGACACTCAGTAACATACATTTCACCCCCACCACAGACTACATCAACAATAACAGTTTTAGAACTTTCAGGACGGCAGAATTGTTTTGGCGTGATACGAATTACCTCGGAGCCGAAGAATGACAGGTACAACAACCGTGGGCAGGAACTCCGGCACAACCAGGAAGTGGGTCTTGGTCCAAAGCTTCGTCCCAGATGCTGTCGAGGGGAGTATTTTTGTTGGACCAGTCTAGTTTAGCCGCTGTGGACTTTAGAATGCACTGGTTAAATGGCGTGTGTCAGACTCGCGGCCATTTTGAAAAGGTCGGCTGCAGGGAAAAGTGATCACACATGAGTTTGAACACACGGCGGAGAAAGTCGTCTCTATATCCAATGATATTTACAATCTATGGTAAAATGTGAAGCGGCTCCATCCTTTTTCTTCCGCTTCATCCGTTGCCGGGTTTTGTACCTTAAATGAAACCTAACACTGAGAAACATGAGTCGTGTGAAGAATCAAAAAAATCTGATTTTCTCTCAACAAAGTGCTATATACTCAACTTGAACTGTTGTTATTCTGGTTATTGTTTGTCACATCCCAAATTCTCATCTCAAACTCATGAGTAAAACACTTTAGGTTCTATTTTCTCTCGTTAGCCGTGGATATGGATTCTACATGATGTAAAATTAGCTGTTTTACATAAGGTGTAAAAGGTGTCAGAATTACACAAATGAGAAAAATAACAAAAGCTGCAGTCATTTAAAATTTCAAAATGTCTTAATAATTCTGAGCCACTTCCCAGATTATTTTTTCCATCATAAAATAATTGCATCTTGGAGAAATGAAGACCGCAGGCAAGAGGTAGAGTGATAATGATAATAGCAATACATCTTTAATTCATAAGCAATAACTCACCTTTCCAGAAGCGTCCGTGAGAAGGTAAAATACATAGAGTATGACAAATATCAAATATATATACTGTATATGTTTCCCATTATTGGCAGAGTTAACTTATATAGTTTACCCTGGTCTAAATGTTCTTTGATTTGGTTTGAAAAGGAAATGGAAATGCAACTTATACTGATCCAATCCCCTCCAAAGAGAGAGGCCGTGGCTGATTTCAGATACGTGCCCGTGGTAGAAGCCTGGCGCACACACAAGCACACTCGTCATCCCATAATATGACCCTGAGAATACATCTGTCGTCACAAGCTGTGTCGACCTGTAGCATAACAAGCTACATTTAGTGTTTGTGGGTTAGGGTTAGTATGTGCAGCAGCAGCAGAAACACATCCAAACAAACAATTAAACAACACAAATAAACAAATCATTCTAAAAGTATCTAACAATAATATTAAAATAACAACAGTCCTTCAGGTCACAGCAGCAGAGGTGGAGCTTGGTTCAGACCATTTTCTCTGCTCTGGTCCAAAGTCAAATGATAAATGCTTCATTAGTATTTTTCAAAAAGTTAGCATTCCTCCAGTGGATTTTCAACTGATCCACTTGGTTCGGACCATGAATCCTCTCTGCTCTGGTCTGGAATCCTCTCTGCTCTGGTCTGGACCAGTGTAAAACCATGAATCCTCTCTGCTCTGGTCTGGACCAGTGTAAAACCATGAATCCTCTCACAAGGCTCTTTGTGAAGGACTAAACCCGGAGACATTGCTTTTGACTTTATTCTGAGTGGGTTTTGGTAAATCCTGGTGGGTCCATTCCTTGAGCTCACCTATCAGACAGATAATAGGCCTGGGCTAACTTTAGCTCCTGTAGCCGTGGGTGAGGAAGAGGAGGCTCTGTGTCAGGAGGTTAATGGTGCTTGGCAACATAATTACTCAGTCTGCCCCCAAAGATCCAACAAAGGAGTTTTATCTGCCTTAACCATGAAGACAGTCAGGAACTCACCGCCCACAGCGGATGAAGAGTCGTAACATTAACAACCGCAGCACCTGAAAAGAACGAGGCCTCGAAAGTGACTGCTTCATGAATTATTCTGTTTCAATTACTTTAGATTTGGGCAAACGGATGAGACAGTGCTGTGTGGTCATGGTTTAGCTCTGGTTTAAGGAGCAAATTGGATCCTGGGTTTGGGTCAGTGCAAAATTATTGATATTCAAAAAATCAAAACACAGAAAATGAGCTAGAGTTGTTCTGAATGAACATTTTATGATCAATTAAATAACCAACTTTTCTTTAGATTTAGATTAATAATATAGTTTAGTATAATATAGTATTTGTTATGAGTGTGTTCACAGTAAAGTGTCAGTTAAAGTATCTGGATTTAAAAAGGTTATCACTTAAAAACTAAAATGACTTTCATAGATTGGAAAAAAAGATGTCAAACACAGACAGATCAAAGAGATCGTGTGGATACAATCAAAAGGAAAGATCAACAAATATATTTTTGGCGACATTTTAAAACCAGATCAGCCTCTGATTGGACCGTTCTACTGTGACTCAGTTACATAGAAAATAAAATGTCCTCAGTCTGAAAAAGCGGCAGATGAAATCCCACATTAATACGGTTAACACAACATCAGGAAGTCACTTGATATAAAAAGGAATCGTTAAATAATAAAAATAGATTAATTAATTAAATGACTCTTGAAAATGTAACGGAGTTGATGATTTCTGTCCATTTTTCTCTAAAGATTAAACTTGAGAAAAAAAAATCTGGTCTGTTTCACATTTAATTGTTTGACTAAATGAAATTATCATTTTGTTTCTACTTTGTGCAAAAAAATATAATCTCTGAATCAAATGTGGATCTGAAAATATGAAACTTCTGCAGCTCATTCTGTCAAATCATCACGTTACATAAAATAAACAGGGCCGCTACTGGACAGAGGAGGGATTTGAACCCATGAAAAACATAAGATATCTACTGATTGTTAAAATCACATTTTTGGCCTTTTGCCCAAATACATATGACCAAAACGTGATTCTGATTAATAAAACAGACTGAAATGTGCATTTTCCTGAACTACTTTTATCAGTTAAAGCAGTATTTGAAAAGACCCCATTTTATGAAAGTCTTTTGACAGATTAGGGCCATTTAATGATGCGCTGACATTAAGTAAGGGATAATGTACCGGAAAATAAGTACCTTCAGGGCGGAAGCAGACCCCTCCGCTGCGCGTCGGGGTCCACTTCGCCCTGTCGGTACTTATTTTCCGATAATGACCTGTATGCTATACATTATCCCGCTTATTATACTGCTTTGTACCAACTTAACATACAAAATAAACTTCAGATCACTTTTATGAATGCCAAAAGTTTATTTAATGACAACAAATAAAGTAGTCCCAAAAAGTTTTCCCGTTGCTCGGCAACCGCGGGCAGGCAGTGTGGCTTTGACAATTGTCATATCATGGATGTACTTTGCACCAAAGTACATCCATGATATGCTAGTCCCATATGAACCAGCCCGGACTCTGAGGAGCGCAGGGACGGGACTCTTGTTAGTGCCCAGAGTCAGGACTAGACAGGGGGAGGCTGCTTTTCAGATTTATGCAGCTAAAGTCTGGAACAGTCTTCCTGAGGATGTGAGACTGGCTGCCTCTCTGTCAATGTTCAAATCCATGTTAAAGACTTTTCTTTTTTCCTGTGCATACAACTAAAGAATTTTATCTTTTTAACACACCTTGTTATTTATTGTTGTAACTTTTTGTGTTTTTAACTATTTTATTGTTTTTAATTACTTGTGTGATTCTTATGTTTTTAAATTACTTATGTAATTTTAAGCTTTTTAATTACATATGTGTTTTTAATTGTATTTTAATGGTGATGATTTGTGCATTGTGTGGTGTGGACTGTGAGGCGCTTTGTGTTGCCCTGTGCAGGAAAAGCGCCCTATAAATAAAGATTGATTGATTGATTGTGGCTATGCTAGCAACAGTTAGGCTGGCAACTTCCAAACTAGAACTCTCTGGAACTGCATGAAAACTGAACAAAGAATTCTGAACATCAGCGGTGAGTGACCCAAACATAAACTTAACCTAAATCCATAATTCGATCCTTTGCAAATGTGTCCGAAAATATGCCGGTATCTACTTCCGGGTTTTTCGGGATCGCCTTTTCTCGCATTACATCAGTGTTTTTGTCATGAAAACGTAAACGGAAAATTCTGAAAACTTCCGTGCACTTGTATTAAGACTGGATTTGTATAATTCACTCTCCGATAAACATTTCATTGCGTTGATTGATTGGCATTTGCGTTTATTGAGCGGCCAGAACTACTTCCGGGGTTTTCACGATCGCTTTTTGACGCAGAGAAATAGTATTTTTGTCATGAAGACAAGACCAGAAAATTCTGAAAATTTCCGTGCACGTGTGTGAAGAATGTATATGTATAAGTATTCTCCGATTAACATTTAAGTGTGTTGATTGAGCGTGGCTAGCTCAGGAGTGGCCGGAACTACTTGCAGAGTTATCCACGCATCTGAAAGACAAGCAGAGAGTGCGTTGCCAAAGGGTATTTGGCATAAGGTCATTATTGTTTTGAGAGGTCCGTTATAGAAAATAATGACCGGTAGAACATTTTGAAATTACATTCAAATCAATGGAGCGTTCTACTGCTGTTGTGAGGAGCCGTATAATAAAATCTTATATATGACTCCTTTAAATAAGACTTTTTCTTTGTATTTGGCTTTTTTTAGGTTACCAGGCTCTTCAATCCCTCATCGAAGCTAACCTCTGACTTAAACCTTGATTTACTGTTTGCTGCGAAGATTTTCTACTGTCCTCTCTAGTGCCCTTTAAACGTCTCGAGGAGTGACTGAGGAACCAGAGAAGAAATGAAGGGACTGAGAGAATGAAATGTCATGACCACAGGAGGATGTTCCCGTCTGCACCCGAGGATTACAGGCTTTACAAGGTCAGACATACAGTGTTAGGTGTTACTATGACAACCTCCTGTGTCCTGTGTCCTGTGTCCTGTGTCCTGTGTCCAGTGTCCAGTGTCCTGTGTCCTGTGTCCTGTGTCCAGTGTCCAGTGTCCTGTGTCCTGTGTCCAGTGTCCAGTGTCCAGTGTCCTGTGTCCTGTGTCCTGTGTCCTGTGTCCAGTGTCCAGTGTCCAGTGTCCAGTGTCCTGTGTCCTGTGTCCAGTGTCCAGTGTCCAGTGTCCTGTGTCCTGTGTCCAGTGTCCAGTGTCCAGTGTCCTGTGTCCTGTGTCCTGTGTCCAGTGTCCAGTGTCCTGTGTCCAGTGTCCAGTGTCCTGTGTCCTGTGTCCAGTGTCCTGTGTCCTGTGTCCTGTGTCCTGTGTCCTGTGTCTTGTGTCCAGTGTCCTGTGTCCAGTGTCCTGTGTCCTGTGTCCTGTGTCCTGTGTCCAGTGTCCAGTGTCCTGTGTCCTGTGTCCAGTGTCCTGTGTCCTGTGTCCAGTGTCCTGTGTCCTGTGTCCTGTGTCCTGTGTCCAGTGTCCAGTGTCCAGTGTCCAGTGTCCAGTGTCCTGTGTCCTGTGTCCAGTGTCCAGTGTCCTGTGTCCTGTGTCCAGTGTCCTGTGTCCTGTGTCCAGTGTCCTGTGTCCTGTGTCCAGTGTCCAGTGTCCTGTGTCCTGTGTCCAGTGTCCAGTGTCCAGTGTCCAGTGTCCTGTGTCCTGTGTCCAGTGTCCTGTGTCCTGTGTCCAGTGTCCAGTGTCCAGTGTCCTGTGTCCTGTGTCCTGTGTCCAGTGTCCAGTGTCCAGTGTCCTGTGTCCTGTGTCCTGTGTCCAGTGTCCAGTCCTGTGTCCAGTGTCCAGTGTCCTGTGTCCTGTGTCCAGTGTCCTGTGTCCTGTGTCCTGTGTCCTGTGTCCAGTGTCCTGTGTCCTGTGTCTTGTGTCCAGTGTCCTGTGTCCAGTGTCCTGTGTCCTGTGTCCTGTGTCCAGTGTCCAGTGTCCTGTGTCCTGTGTCCAGTGTCCTGTGTCCTGTGTCCAGTGTCCTGTGTCCTGTGTCCTGTGTCCTGTGTCCAGTGTCCAGTGTCCAGTGTCCAGTGTCCTGTGTCCTGTGTCCAGTGTCCAGTGTCCTGTGTCCTGTGTCCAGTGTCCTGTGTCCTGTGTCCAGTGTCCTGTGTCCTGTGTCCTGTGTCCAGTGTCCAGTGTCCTGTGTCCTGTGTCCTGTGTCCTGTGTCCAGTGTCCTGTGTCCTGTGTCCTGTGTCCTGTGTCCAGTGTCCAGTGTCCTGTGTCCAGTGTCCAGTGTCCAGTGTCCTGTGTCCTGTGTCCAGTGTCCTGTGTCCTGTGTCCTGTGTCCAGTGTCCTATGTCCTGTGTCCTGTGTCCAGTGTCCTGTGTCCTGTGTCCTATGTCCTGTGTCCTGTGTCCTGTGTCCAGTGTCCTATGTCCTATGTCCTGTGTCCTGTGTCCAGTGTCCTGTGTCCTGTGTCCAGTGTCCTGTGTCCTGTGTCCTATGTCCTGTGTCCTGTGTCCAGTGTCCTATGTCCTGTGTCCTGTGTCCTGTGTCCTGTGTCCAGTGTCCTGTGTCCAGTGTCCAGTGTCCAGTGTCCAGTGTCCTGTGTCCTGTGTCCTGTGTCCAGTGTCCAGTGTCCAGTGTCCAGTGTCCAGTGTCCAGTGTCCTATGTCCTGTGTCCTGTGTCCTGTGTCCAGTGTCCTATGTCCTGTGTCCTGTCTCCTGTGTCCTGTGTCCAGTGTCCTATGTCCTGTGCAACCTTCCAGAGCTGAACACAAACTACCAAAGCTTTTCATTTCAAATACAAAATGCATTTCAACCCTGTCCTGGTCTAACCACACCATAGTACTCATTTCATCTGGTACTAAGGTCTGGATTTGCTCCATTGACTCCGTGAACAGGTGGGAGGGGCTAACTCCTTTTGCAGATTGAAACCATTGGATCTGAGTTTACTGTGACGTATGTAATGAGCCCGAGTGAGTCAGGCTTTAGCATTTAGCCTAGCTTTAGCATTTAGCCTAGCTTTAGCCATCTCCTTTGCCATTAACTGAGCCCGT